GAACTGCTGTGTGCTGTTCCTCTATGGCAGAGAGAAGGGAGCACACAGATAAATGTTTTTCATACTACTTAAATTGAAGAAATTCATTGATAGATTCTTTTGGATTCTAAGAAAACTACTGTTCCTGGTTCATCAGAAGCTGTGAAGCAAAGTGATCTATGTTCAGCCTCTGACTGAGGACGTCCTTGAACTGCACATTGTTAGCAGCTGGGAGAATATAATCAGACAGTACCACACTGTCTTTTAAGCTCTCATTGCCAAGAAGGGCTACTGGACTAAATTGACCTTTACTGTGACCTAGACCAGTCTCATTAGGCGAAAGATTCTCTAACAAATACGAACTTTACAGATTTTTACTGTTCCCATGCCAGTCAGTATGCTTATGAAAACATTTATTCCAAGTCTGATGTGAGCATAACATGATGATTATTGACCAAGATATGCCTTTATCAGGCTATTTAGTTGTTGCTTGATTTTAAAGTTATAAAAGTGGTTTTTTTTAGGATGACTATTGACCGACTGTCACTTCATTACTGTAGGATCTTGACAGGAGTAGGAATTTCATGATCTGGCTTAGAGTCAGAAAAGGAGAAAATTGTACTCAGAAGATCTTTTGTTTCATCTCCCTGCATGCAGGGAGAACTGAGTAAGACTAACCTGCATTGCTCTTTCCCATAGCTGGATAAATTTGTATAGTGTATTCTTAATTTCCGGTTAACAGTTTTCAGAGTGTATTCCACTGTTTGAAAATACCAAAGCTTTGTGTGAAATTCAGCCAAACAATTAAGATTAATATTATTTTTCCCTCTTTTTTGTCATTAAACATGGGGAATGGTTGATCACACTTTCTGTGATCTTGAGACACACAAAATTTATCCTCATAGCACTTATTATGTATTTTAGTTTTTAAAATTTTGTCATGATTTTATAAACATTATAATGATTTTTCAGTGACATCCTGACTCTTCCAGTAGTGAACTGAAGATATGCTCTGATGAGTTTGTTTTGAGCATCTAAGAGACTAAATTTTATATCATTCCTCTGTTGTTTTGAATGTTTAACCAGTTGTAATGTTTTATTTCACTCATATTCTGCTAGGAATTTTCAATATTTCAGTTTGAAGAACTGAAGTGAACTAGGATAATTACTATAGTGATAGATTTAATAAAGTTGGTGTAAAAATAAGCTGCTTAAAAATGCATAGGTTTTTTTAGGCTTTCTTTCTGCCCCCATCTCTTTCTCTCTTAACCCACACACCCACACATGTTTTTGATTTTTTTCTGTAATAAGGAATTATGTTGTCATTTCTAGTTATAGCTTAGTTTTATGAAAACTGGGATTTGAAACTAAAACACTTGAAAATATTTCTTAGATCGTACATAATTAGGCTGCAGAAATAGGTAAAAGGTACATACTCAAAATCCATTTTATTTTCAAGCATTTTGGCATGAATTGTGGTATTATTTTTCTTACTGGAAGTCCATAACCTTCAGGTTTCCCTTCCTCTCTCTGGAAGTCTTCAGAAATTTGACAAACAAAAAGAATTAAAACTACTTTAAAAAGGAAAAGTAGATGCAAATTACAGCAGAAGTGCTGTTGTGGAACAAATGACCATTGATTCTGTGAGTGCTGATACCAAAAGGAATGGCAGAAGGCTCTTGTGAATCATAGCACAGAACAGCTTTTATGTTCTGGGTGTACTTGCAGATAAACCAGTATTCAGAATAGTCTGAATTTATTCTTCCCATTTCCATTGTCAGCAATCAGAGAAGATTTGCAAGAACATTTATAACCAGGAAGAAAACCAATGTTGTGAAACCCTTGAAACAATGAAAGGATTTTTAAATCAGGCATCAGAGCCTTCCCGGATAAGGAAAGTCAGCCCACATGGTCTCCTGATGATACTCTTTAGCTCTACCTGCATAGTGAAGATGGAAACATTTTCTGTCTTTCAGCACACTGATGAAATTAACATCTGAAACAAACACATATGATCAAGGCAATCTAAATGGTACTAGAGTGTTTTGATTTGCTGATTACAAAAAGTGCAGGTAGTCTGCCCTGAGTATTTCCGTCTCTATACTGTGCCAGACTTGGTGTCTCTTGGGTAGGATGCCATATGGTGATTTTTGACATTTACAGAGATTCTTTTGTATGTGATAAAATAAGATCTGAGGCAAGGTGAGCAGGGAGAAGAAAGAACAGAAGAGTAGGTAAGATGGAGAGCAGAACAAGAGGAAAACTCACACACAGCCTTTTTCTTACTAATATGGTTGCTCTCTTGCCTGTCTCCTTGAGGCTTAGGCTACGCATGTGTTACAGAGAAGACTCATAAAGAAATATGAAACCTGAAAGGGAAGTGACTCTGTCCAGCAATGGACTATATACTTTTGCATTCCCGCTCTTGCCTACGAAGGTGCTTGGGTTATGCCTTGCAGTGGTCACAGGAAGTTAAGGTGCCAGATGGCATAACCCTCAGATTTCCTGGTGTCACTTCTGCTGGCACAGCTTCACCTGTGGTAGCAGTGCTGGTCACAGTGGTGGAGGGCAGCCCATGCACAGTGCCTCAGCCAGAGCATCATCTAGTTCCCTGTGAGAGGAGCTGGGAGAGAGAGCTGGAGCCATCAGATGTGTTTGTACTTCCCCTGCATGAATTCTTCCTTTTCCATACAAACATGCTGATTAATTGCACCTGCAGAACTGGATGATAGATATTCTTGCATACATCACATGCAAACTGTTCATCTCTTTTCAAAGTTCCCCTTCTTTGCTGTAGGGGTATCTGAACCTAATTTTAGTTCCATTTGACACTTATTTCACATAATGGCAGAAGGTGGAAATTGCAAAATACCAGGAAGAGTAGTGGAGGGCTGCCTGTGAGCAGAAAGGTGTTCCAGTCCACAGGGATCCTTAGGCTTATCCAAAATCCCTAGGGCAACATACAGCTTGTCTGTGCTATGCTCATTTAGGACACTATATGGAAATTATAAATGATTATGTCAATGGTTCTCGTGAGGAAAAGCTATCAGCTATCACAGACTGCTGTGTCCTGAGACAAAATGCAAACCAATTAGCAGAACGGTGTGACTAATAACAAGATCCAACAATTTACTGGTGGATGAATTATTTATTCTGTGTATTCTATGTGAGGAGACGCACAGTGTGTCAGGTTTTCTGACAGCAGAATTCTCTTGAAGTTGGTTGAATTGTGCCCACAAGGATTGTGGTTTTCTATTCTCAGCAGCTGCAGCAAATAAATTTAGTTCTTTTGTGAGAAAGTTCAAATCAGGAGCAATTAGTATTCCCCAGGCCTAGTTTTCTACCTGGTAAGTGAAGACAAATTTAATTAGAATGGTGAATTTGGGAATTTTGCTGGTAGCAGGTCTTCTGCTCATCTGTGGCTTCATTGAAAAGTTTTGTCTGCTGCTTCTCC